AGTCACTGAGCTGTCAGAAAATCAATCTATAACATTACTTTTTACCAGATTTGGCTTGTCAGCGGTGGTGATAGGATGTTTGAAGTTCTTATTTTTCAGCGTTTATAATGTATCAATTCAGAATAAGCTTCCTCGTGAACTCTTGCTTGCCATGAAAACATTTGCATTTGGCTCATTTATGAATTTGATTTGCGAATCTCAGCAATTCGTGAAGCCGATGAATTCGAGGCCACTTGATTGTGCACATCAGCAGTCGGTTAATCGGTGATAAAATTTGGGTGATTTTTCTCAGACTAATTGAGAAATTATCAATCTTCACATTAATTTGTCATTTCCTTCTCATACTAGAGGTTGCCCGAATGTAGCGGGTGCCTATCAGACAGTCAAGTATGAGTTGAAAAAAAGATGAGACATATTGAAAGTATTAACTCAAGTTCCTTCGAGTTGTCGCAGCCATGCCCGTATCATTTCATCAGGCTCATTTTATTCAATATTCAATCACTTATTTTTCTCTTTTCTAACTGGCTAAAATTTATTCTGTAATGAAATTTAGGCTAAATTTATTGTATCAGTTAATTTACTACAAACACTTGCTTATGAATTATTGTTGCCAAAATAACATAGCCATTCTTGTCTCCCAAATTTTTTAGAGGAATGAATTATCTATTGAGTAGTAGATAATTGATAATTCAAAGATGATAACTGTATCAAGACTGTGAATTTTTATCGTTCACCGAACACCTGTAATTAGTCGATCGAGTTCTGATGCGCTGGGTAACTTTCTGATTTTATTTTAAATGGTAAAGCCGTTGGTAAAGACTTATATTAACTTATGTGTTATACCAGAAATTATACCAACAACTATTTAATAAATTAATATGTTGAAAATATATGAACTATACTGAAAATTTTCTAATTCATGTTACTGTCGCTGCATGTTTCATGCTAGCCGATGATTTGGAAATAGCTATGCCTTATAGAAGGAGAAGCCTCTTCTAAGAAAATGTTGCAAAAGTTCATCGTTGATACTTTTTCAGTAAAATAAGGCAAAACATGCTTAAAATAGAAAAAATAGGAAAAGTGCACATTTATAGTATCCTGTAAATAAAAGAAAAATTTATAAATATCCTTTATACTTGTGCAGTACATTTCCCATTTGACTTATAATATATGTAGACCTATTTTTCTATTTAACTGAATGTAATAAAAGGTATGACCCTGGAGCCACATCAAATAAGAATAGTTATTAATATAGATGAAATTATCCTGTAGATAATCAGGGTTGCCTGATGAATTGTTGAGTGAGCTTGACATGAATAACCAGCAAAAAAAAAGCAGTAAATACATTTACAATTTTTTGAACCTAAACTCAACTTTAGCAACTCAACTAAAGGAACTAAGCCTAAACTCAACTTTAAGAACTCAACTAAACTCAACTTTACAAGTGTATTAGGAAATCATACTCCAATGCCAGTTGCAATTTAGAATCTGCTTCCAAAGAACTGCTCAATTTTCCAAGTTTGTATAATAACGAGCCGAGTGCATAATTTTTCAGACCAATTTATCTTCCTTCCATGTAATAACCCATTTATAGAATTAACAAATATCACAGTTCAATATTTTCTCTTTCGAAAGAATGCTGTTTCAATTAAGTAGGTTTAGCTGCACCTTTTCATTTTGGTGTTCAAACATTACTGAAAAGGAGCTCAGAGGCTTATATGAGGAAGTTTATGCAATTTTTGCTGAAAAATAAAAATGTACTATTGGCCAATATTTTGTTCAATCTATATACTCTGGTGAAAAATGAATGCACAAGTATCAAGGATATTTATAAGTTTTCCTTTGATTCGCAGGGTGCTTTACGTGAGCACTTTTTCTGTCTTTCTTTTTCAAGCCAGTTTTACCTTCTTTTACAGAAAAAGTATCAACAATGAACTTTTGCAACATTTTTCAGAAGAATCTCTTCAAGTTGTACTGGCATATCTATTTCCAAATCATTGGCTGGCATAATACATGCCGCGGTAGTGACCTGAATAATATTTGAAAATTTGAAATATATTTTTCAAGCTAGTTCTATCTATTTTAAACAAAAATTTTGAACAATCACTTTCTGAAGATTTTTTCTAGAAGCGCCTTAATTTTCGAATCACTGACTGGCATAGATTCTCCACAATTCACGGACATTTCAAAATTTTTCAAAGGAATCTCATTTAAAAAAATTTTTAAATTGTTAACAAAATTTTTGACGAAGTCCATTCGTAATATACATACAGGTATATTTCGAATGGAATATACATAAGAAATATACATTTTGCGTATAACACAATTATGTGCAGAATTTCATTGAAATTGGTTATGAACAGGTGGTCAGATTTCAAAATTGTCACACTTGATATGGAATTACCCAATTATCATCGATCACCGGACGCAGCAAGCTCGTTATTAATCCTATAGGCCGGGCACACACCATACTGCTGACCACGTGCCAGGCATATGTCAGTCACGGTCCAGTCCAATATTTTGATGCATTCCCATAGAAGTATAAACAGCATGGGTATGGTAGGTGCTTTGCACGGCTGGTGTGAATGCTTCATATGGAAATAAATTAAAGAATATTCAGCTGTACCGGGACTGGCATATAGCTGGCACGGTCCAGTCCAATATTTTAGTGCATTCCCATAGAAGTATAAACACCATGGGTATGACAGGTGCTTTGCACGGCTGGTGTGAATTTGTGCAGTTCGTCGGCACTAAAAATAGTCGCTAGGTATTTACACCTGGTCAGATTTTTGGTCAGCAATATAAATAAATTTGCTTTCCTGATCAATATTTCTTATAACGACTATCCGATACTAAACTTAATAAATGAGACTAAATAGTCGCGTATAGTCAGAATTTGCATCACTAAATTGCTCCTCCGTATCTGTTTAACAGAGGTGCAATTTAGAAAAAAATTAAAGGAGCCTAAATTTTATATCAAAACGCCTATTTCTCTGCACGATCGTGCCGAAATTGAGTTACCCAAGCTCACTAGGCGTCTCAAAAACGTTCTGTTGGACACCGGGTTCAACAAGTAGGAACTCGAAACAAAATCTACGGTAAACTGAACAAATTTTTCAGATTCTGCACGATATGGTCGCAACGTACTCATAGAATAGAATAGAATAGAAGTGTCGGCGCTGAAGAAATAGGCCCATGGCCTGTTGCCGATTCTTGAACTTTTCGTGACTTGATTCACAAGGGATCCGGCCTTTGGAACCCGATCTTTCCATAGCTGACGATTGATTGAGATAGCTGCTGGACTTATTGCCTGGTCCGTAACAGGCCACTGTAGCATCATTGACGTTAATCGAAACAAGCTTGCAAAATTTACAAATTTCCTCTCGCTCATTTTGCGATTTGATCTTCGCATTCGGTTTAACAGGACTGGAAGCCTTCTTAATTAATCTTTTTCCTCTCTGACCAGCCATCTTGAAATGCAAGAGCTAGATAAACACAAGTTAAAAAATACTAAACAATTTCTAGTGTCGGATGACGTCATTTCCCCAGATTTTCCTTCACTCGACATCACCGCAAAAAAAACACAGTGTGCGGTAGTAAACAATTTCAAAAACATATAAATTAGATGTTCAGATAGCTTCCAGTCCTCTGTTCAGAGCAGACAAAGTGATATTATAAGTTTTTTTTCAAACTAATGTTAGGCGAAATGAGGATCATGCAGTAAAAAATAAAATTGATATCTATGATTCACTTTCATGTGATGTTGATGTTGAGTAAAAAAATGTTGATTGAAGTTGCGGGAGTCATTCCTGTCAAACAAATCGTCGTTGCTAATTTTACACGTTTGTGTTATGAATTCAAATTAATTATACCGAAAAATAAAGAAAATGTATTCTAAAAAATAACATTCGTTATTTGTTGAATATTTGTTAAATGTAAAAATTACCTATTTTTACGGAAGACTATTTCAGTTCGGAGATTTTGCGTTTTCCTTATTTAATAAGAATTTATTTCTGCCATTCAAAACAAAGATAAATGACCAATTCGTACACGGTCTTTTATACATAGTCAAGAAATAAATGAACAAATTAGGTCTACAATTACATCACATTACGCTCACGCATACACAAATTCGCGAATACATATTAAATTTATAAAAATTTTCTAATTCAAGTAGCTCAACAAGTAATCCAAATTTTTAATTTGCTACAAGACCAAATTTAATGCGGAAAATTACCATGTGAGTCGAATTGCTCGCAGCATACAAAAAATTATCCCCCGACTAATACATCAACTTAAAGCTTATTAGCTCCTAAATGGCATGGCTCCGGTAATGTCAGTCCATACAATATACGTAGTCCACTATAGTCCACAATGTCAGTCCATTGCATACAATTGTTGCAACGCGCTTACCGCATACACGTAAACATATGAGACATAAAATGCCTCAAGAAATAAATATAAGAAACGTAAATGTTCAAGTAAGGCCAATTTCCGCTAGTTATGTAGAGGTTGCACTTACGTCTAGTGTCATATGACTCAATTTGCTCTTCGTTCATGACTTCAATGCGACTGTTATTTCTCTGAATAACTCATTATTGACACATTTAAATAAATTTAGATTAGATAATGTTTCCTATTCTGACTCTGCCGTGATGTCACTGAGACAACGAGTACGAAACGATGTCATTACTCGGTGCCACTGCCACCTACTCTATTCTCATAAAATTTCTAACATCTATCCCCGATCCTCAAGTATTGGTTAAATGATCAGGTTTTCCGGCAAAATTAAAAAAACCATATAGAAAATCTATTACAATTGCAGGTCTGAATTCCGAATATCAGAAGATAAGGAAATTCTTAATAATCTAAATTGATAGAGATTTTTCTAAATATACCACGTACTTTGTAATTTGGAAAAATTTTGCCGTCAAATTTCATCAACTTTACTGGTTTTACCCCTTCAGATCACAGCTACGGAGAATATATAAATCACATTATAAATCCCTGGATTTAAGTTCCATTAGCCCAGAATATTAGATTAAAGGGTACTCGGCGAATCCATTGCCAATAAATAATTCATCTGAAGCCGTGACTGAAGTCGAGCAACAAGAAGATGATCCTGACAAGTGGCAGGCGCCTCAAGACTTTAGTCGGCCGCACATTTTCCTACCTAGTGCTGACATGGTGCATCTTGATACTCATCATCAACAGGTACTGGTGCATCTTGATACTCATCATCAACAGGTACTGGTGCATCTTGATCCTCGTCATCAACAGGTACTGGTGCATCTTGATACTCGTCATCAGCAGGTACTGGTGCATCTTGATGCTCGTCATCAGCAGGTACTGGTGCATCTTGATACTCATCATCAACAGGTACTGGTGGATCTTGATCTTCGGCATGAACAAGTAGTACTATTAATACTTCAGTACGATTGACTATGTACTTCATGCCAATCATTAATTGTGACTGTTGTCTTCTTTTAATTCACAGCTGTACAATATTCATGTGGATCGTGAATGTAGAACATAAACTTTGGTTCATGATGCATGAATGCATTCCTATAATTTTTTGGAGGATTATGAATAATTATCGTCCATTACTTGACTCTTAAACTTTTTCCGCCTAATTATGCATGAATCCCGAAAATTGTAAAACTTTCTGAAGGTACCGGACATTCAACGACCTTTACATCTACCAGCAAGCTTAATTCCTTCTCGAAAACTATGGCGAGTTTGAGTATGAACGAGTCTCGAATTCTCGAGTTTTATTCAACGGATGAAATAAACGAAACTATGAAATAAGACAGTCGGCGGGGACAACGGCTCAACGCATGTCGGTGGCGCTCCCCAAACCGTCCGCCATCCGCGGTTCAAAAATCAGAGGCAGAGGCGCATATGTCAAAAAATATGGCGCCCAGAGTAACGTAGCCGGCCCAAGTCAAGACGTCCGATAAGGCGCCGAGCGCAGCTTAGCCGGCCCAAGTCAAGACGTCCGATAAGGCGCCGAGCGCAGAGTAGCCGGCCCAAGTCAAGACGTCCGATAAGGCGCCGAGAGTAGCGTAGCCGGCCCAAGTCAAGACGTCCGATAAGGCGCCGAGCGCAGAGTAGCCGGCCCAAGTCAAGACGTCCGATAAGGCGCCGAGCGCAGAGTAGCCAGCCCAAGTCATCCCGTCGCCGGTCACTTCATCAATTTCCCTATCGCGTCATATAGATGTGCGGGCGAACGTCGAAAAAATAGGCAAGATAATATATTCTGAGGGCACAGTCTATGAAGCGATTGTCAACAGTCTGTCAGTATCAGCGATGTTAAAGGGAGCTTATTCAATTATTTGTTTTCTTTTTCTTTTAGTGTCTGTCTTAATTGTATCCGTCATTTATATTATCCGCGATTACCATTTTACTTCTTATTTATAAATTTACTGATATCCATTTATCTTAGTTCATTTTCGGAGGTCACAGTGTCTAGACTGAGTAAGAGTTAACGGTTTCATCTTTAAGCCTAGGAAGGCACCAATGATTAACTTTATCAAGGCAGATGTAAATTCTTTCTTTCTTTTTAGTTATAATATTAAATACGAGTTCGCGGAATTAACGCCCGCCTCGCCTCAGTCTACGGTCTTTAGAAGGCCTCTGATAATGAGAGTAACCTTGCAAATTATGTTTAATAATCATGGTTCCATAGCAGAAATGCTACTTATTGAAGGTTTCTTGAACACAGCGCAATCAAATAAATCACCTGGATCGATTTCAGAGAGTCAGATGATCGTGTCTAAATAAGTTCAGATGCAATTAATTAGGCTTTTAGTAAAATATTTGCACTTTATTCAGTAAATTTTATTTAATCCTATCTAATCATTCTATGTTTTCCTGTTTGCCCAGGTATTTGGGCACACACATTACAAGGGGAGGCTCTCACTTATCAGCAGAATCAAAAATTTTTGAAGGCAAACTCTTGGTTGACAACTCACCCGCTCTGTCCGACTTGGAATTCGCCACAATGCTACAAAACGAAATACCCAATTTGCCTCTTAGATACTGGCAAACCTTGAAAAACGATTTGCCCGCCATGAATAAAAGTTGTGCGAAGTTCCCTTCCATCTTGGATTTAAGATTTAATAATATCTACTGGCAAACTTTGGAAACCTCAAATGGAACTTTCTACCTCTACGGGGCATACTATGATAACCGAACCTTAGAAGCTAAAGCACCTGTTGTGAGGATACTTGGAATGATCAACAGACTTAAGCCACAAGTGCAGACAACTTGTCAGCTGTGGTTTAAAGACTCCAAAACCCCTGTCTTCACAAAGGTTTATGAATACAAGTACATATGGGTCGGGCAGTGGGGAAATCATAGGGATGGACTTATTCAGCCCTACCTGATATCGTGTCAAATTCCAGTTGAATACCGCCATCTTGTGCCTGAATCGGTGTCACTTGTTGAAAATCCTTGCGATATGGCCGTCATTAATTTGAGAGTAATTAACAACGTACCTGAAAATGGAGAGAAGAAAGAATTTGCCGTTTGTGTGAAGGGTCTGGATTACCTAAACGCGGATTTAAGTGTGAGGCTCGTGGAATGGTTTGAGATCTTACATCATCTGGGTGCCGATAAGATATTCCTTTACGAATTTGAGGTTCATCCGAACATCACAAAAGTTCTGAATTATTACAAAAAACGTGGTATGGTGGAGGTAACTCCAATCACTCTGCCGGCTTACCAACCCAACATCAAAGGACTCAGACACATTTACGTCAAGAAAAAAGTTACCAACAAACGTCAAAACGAGCTTATTCCTTACAACGACTGTCTGTACAAGAACATGTACAGGTATAAGTACATAACTCTGCTTGACATTGACGAGGTTATCATGCCCAAAGGAGTTAATATGCTTTGGAAGGACCTAGTTGAAAACGTTTCTAAAAAAGTTCCCAAAGGGGAAAAGTTAAAACGTTCATCGTACGTGATTCGCAATGTTTATTTTTTCGACACTCTACATACGAGCGATAAGAATCCCACACTCTTCGATGAAATCCCTCGTTACATGCACATTTTCCAACATGTACATCGTGCAATGAACCATACAAAGCCAGGATATTATATCAAAGCTTTCCATAATCCGCAACGTGTAATGACTTTACACAACCATTATCCACTTGCTTGCATTGGTGGGTCTTGTTCACCATTCTCCATATCTACCGAAGACGCGCAACTCCAACACTATCGCGGAGATTGTGTGGCGGATCTCAAGAAATCGTGCGACTATTTCAAGAACTACACCGTGCGCGACGAAACGATCTGGAGGCACAAAAGTCCCATCATATCCAGAGTTACAGAAACCCTTCATAACTTGGGGTTCTTCTCCTGAACCTCTAGTCTCAGCCATGAAGGGTTACATCTACTTAGTACAGGTAACAAGAAGAATGCTTTTGGTAATTCTTCGAGCAACAATCTTGTTATCATCGAAGACATAAACATCGTCGTTGTTGCAAAGCGAGTGCGATTCATCATAACATAACATAGTGATGTCGACGCTAAAGAGTAGGCTTGATGTGGCCTGTCGCCGATTCTTGAACTTTTCGTGACTTGTTCACAGAAGATCTAAAATTGTGTCATGTGACCGGATCTTTTCAAGACTGAAGATAGTTTGACATAGCTACTAGACTTCCACTGGGTTCGATATGGTGCAAGGCATTTCAAGTCTGAACATATATTTTTCCATAGCTTTCTCTAGTCTGTTCATGAACGCGTTAACACTCGGAGCGCCAACGATGTAATCAGGGAGACTGTTCCACATGTCGGTGATTCGAATAAAGCGAGATGAAATGTTGTCGCGTGGACAAGTTGCAGCGCAGTTTTTTTAGTTTATAACCGTGACCCCTGGTGCTGGTTCTTGTTTCAAATACTAGTAATACTTCGAGGACCTTGTATAAACCATGAGTATACTTTTATACTTCAATTCATGCTTCTGCTTTGGTCGGCGTACAGTAATGCCTCGCTATATAGCGCATTACATACCGCGGCATCACGTCATCGTGGGTTTCAGTAAATATTAATATAAAAATTCGTGGATCCATGATGGTTCGTGAATTTTCGAGTAAATGGATCGGCAGGCTTTTAATTAGAAATGTGCTTGAATTGCGAGAAAACAAAAATATTCAAAAATTTATTTCGAATATCAACCAACAATGAAGTTATGCTATTCAAACTAAAAATTACTAATTGAAATAAAGACTTCTAGATTTTATACTATATAGGTATTACGTATGTACATTGTAAGAATGTAAGGATAAGCACATAAATAAAATATAGTAAAATAGATGCGTCGGCGGTGAAGAAATAGACCCATGTTCTGTTGGCGATTCATGTACTTTTCTTGACTTGTTCCTCAGGAGATTAAGAAACCGGCCTTTTGTCCAGATCACTTCATAACTGACGTTAGTTTGAGATAGCTTCTGGACTTAGCTAGTATTTAGGTCCTTAAGGTGATATGCATTTTAACACCGAACGCATGCTCCAGGATAGCATTGCCTAGTTTATTCATGCACACGTTCATACTCGGAGCGTCAGCGAAGTCATAAGGGAGGCTGTTCCATATGTCGGTGACTCGAAACGAGTAGGAGATTTGTTGGATTGATGTGTTGCGCATTTTTTTCTAGTTTATAGCCGTATCCTCTGGCGTTGGTTCTTGTTTCATATCTAGTAATCCTTCGGAAATCTTTTATAAACCATGAATATACTTGTATACTTCAATGAGGTCGCCACGCAGCCGTCGATAACAGCTTACTTGGAAGATTCATTATAATCTTTCTTCATAAGATTTGCCCTTTAATCCTGGAATTACACTTATTGTAAGTCCAATAAATTTTAATTTCACCCGCGGTAGTGGGTGAAATTATAATAATGTTCATTTCACACTTGGATAAATCAATGAAAGTATTGCAATTTCATCTCGGTAAACCTAAATTAAGCATTTACTATTAATTACGGCTTTTTAAATTAAAAAAAATCATTGCTTTCTTTATGTGTGCAATTGTTTATTATGAATTTAGAATCCATTTTATGTGTTACAAGGTTACAAGTCCATTTTCATGCTACAAAAATCAAGTAGGAATATTCATGTCGTCGGTGCGCCAATAAAATTCTCCCTTATTAAATTAATTGGTTAGAAGGCATAACTGAGCCTCGTGCAATAGACATTTGTTTATTGGGATGCAAAATATTTCGAATCGCCTAAAACTGCAATTAACGAAAACTAAGCGCATGGGGGCTAGAGATGGCAGTGAAACAAAGTTAAGTTTCCCAAATTTTTCTTTTCTTTATTAATTAAGTTAATTGCAACGTATATTATTGCATAGGCATATGAAGATTGGCCGGGCTGCGAGAACGGATAGGGTCAAGGAAGTTCCCCACCAAAGCGTGACGTGCCAGATCTGCAGCCATTTACCCCCAGCATTTTCGTTCAGTGCTGCCACAAAAAATATGGAAATAAATTTAAAAATATAGATCTATTATATTTATAAAATTCATCATCTATTTAATTTTTCCATATATATTAAATACATCTATTAAATTATCAATTCATCAATTAATATAGTTTTAGGTCAACTATCATTTAGTAATATTAAGGGCACAGCCCATTTATCAATTAACAAAGAAATAGCATGCCAGCATGCAATATATTAAATTTCTCCTATTATCCATTAAATATCCATTAAGGTGTAATTATTAAAATTAAATATCTATTATATTATTATTTAAATTTAATATTGGCAACACCTTTATTTTAGTTTGAGGTCAGAGGGCAGAGTTAGCTATGTCAGTCTCTGAAACTGTCTGGCACACACCCGCACGACTAAGTGGTACCGAGGACTTACGTTTCATAAAAGACTGAAGCTGGTGCAGTCGGCTGAAGCAGGTAAGTGGTCCAACTGGGGCTCAGGAGAACATGCGGACGTGGAGATCTTAGCACCTCATGGCTCCCATCACGTGCGACGAAGAAGCAGTACCGTAACTCCGGTCATAGCGTCCTGGGATACTGACAACAAATCGACGGCCGCAGGAGGAACTGGTCACAGGATGAGGTGCTAGAGAAGACTGTGGATAGTTAGTCTATCGGCTTGAAGTTTGGTTCCATTCAAAGGGAATCCAGAAACCGCAAGCCTCTAATACCTCAAAATCGCTAAGGTGGTGCCAGGCAATTATGTAGTTTGAATGTAACGTAGTACTGAAATGCATTATAAAACGAAAATTATAGTTTTAAGTCCAGTTATTAATCGACCTCTATGCAAGCTTAAAGTTAACATTTAACGACAAACTTAAAACTATACTATTTTCGACAGCAATTAAATATGGCCCGTCTTGCGTTGATTTATGTACATGTACGTGTTTCTTTCTTGTATAGCTTACGTTATAACCGCCATTAAACCTCGATTTGCCGTTGCTTGGTTTATAAAGAATTTCTTCATTTTAATGATTACATTCACACTTAAACAAAGTCAGAGTGTAATTTTTCAACTGCATATATAGCTAGTGCTTTGAAAATAATTATTATTGGAAAAAATTAGACCTACATAATATTTGTTTTTAGTGTAAATATTACCTATTGTATCAACTTTTAAAGAGTGGAAAAATTTTGCTCGTTGATCGTTTTAGTGTTTGTTGATGTTTAGCTCGCAAAACGCACAGTTTCTGCACTCTTGTCCACATGCTTATATATATTTTCGTGCGAATCTATGTTCTGTTTACAATCTACCTTCCATCTACTAAACCCTAGGCTCATTCAAATACATCTAACTGCCGTTTTTAGCGCATTTTCTCATTTATGAAATAAATGCATTATTGTGCTCGCCATGTCCGTCTGTCCGTCCGTCTGTCTGTCCGTCTGTCTGTCCGTCCGTGACTTCAAGTTTTCGTCGACGAGAAAATGCGCTCTCTGTCACTCACTGCAGTGAGTACTGAGTTTTATTTTTTATAAGTTAAATGCATCAATCCTCGTTACCAGCCATTCAATGTGAAATGCGGCCAGAATTGCTGGCAACAAATTTCCTAAGAAATTTTTACATTTATACTCATCTTGTCCACAAGTCCTGCTTCAATGAAACATTTGACACTAAAATTTAAAATATTTGTACGAGAATACCTTATTTAAGAACAGCCGCTTTGTAGTCGTCGTTATATGACTTTCACTTTCGTTAGCGTTATTCACACGTGCTGTTGTCATACATGCACCTACTGACATTATTTGTAGGTTAAATATTTTTTTACCTCCAACATACATACTGTAGTCGATGTACTTCGATATCAATGAGGTTCTCTGGTTATTTACCGACAATTGTCATACCGGCACTGAAGCTAGAAATTTTTCACGCAAATGTCATTGGAGGGATAATTGGTTAAGGGGACCGATTGATAATTTTGATAACTTCTATAGTTATTATCCGATTGACATGAAACTTCACATACATACGTAAAATGTAAAAAGAAAAACATTTTGCTCCTGTGAATTTATAAAGGGCCTAAAAACTGCCCTTCTTTGGGAAGCTGTCACGAAATCATTTTTTGACGCACAGGGATGATTCTGGTACCGTTGAATGCGTTGAAAAGTGAGCTTTAAGATGAGCCCAAAAAGTGGAAAACGCCAAAATTGAAAATTTTAGGTTAGACGGTCCCCTTAATTCAACGTAAATCAGATATCAATTACAGGTCCAATTCTTTCATTTCGGTTTTATTATGTCTTACTATTCTCTCGTTAACGAGTTTAGTGAGAATTTAAGGTTCAATATTAGTTCATTTTTCCTATTAAAAAGATCTGGAGATGGAGGGAAGAAAAGGAGCAAAAATACAATTTTATGGTGGAATGCAGTCGTGTACATACAACAATGTTTGAGCACGAAAAATAATAAGCCAAAATGTATTAGTGACATGCACTTAATGGTTGTTAACCTGCTAATTCGGGAGTCCTCGGGAGCAAAAGAAACTGATCGAAAGAAACGCTCTGAAAATTGGCAGGGGGACAAATACTAACCAACACTAAGCAGGCGTTTTTTTTTATTTACGGAATCTCTCGCACTTAATGGATCAGGCATTTAGTAGCGAGTTAAATGACTATCAAATGCGGTAGTCAGTAGATAGTCAGAATGGTAGTAACGTGTAAAAATTCTAGTGCTTACTTTGTTAAAATGTTTGCTTTTCCTCGGTAAATAAAAAAGAAGAATGAAAGAGATCCCGGAAAATATGAAAAGTAGCAAATCAGTAAGTGAGCCTAGAAAAAAAGAAGCAGGATATTAAATGTGGTTAATAACCATTTGCGTCGAGGTTTTCTCAATAAATGATAGAAGACAATCCGAGTTATAAATCTGATTCATGATATATTCGAATGGGCATTAGATCGATATTTTATTCTACAGAGTAGAGAAGGTGAAAAGGGAACATGCAGAGGTCGACAAAATCCGATCTTTGCGCAAATAAACATAGCTTAATTAAAGTACACATAAATAGCAAACGCCCTAATGTTATATAACAAGCCAACTATGACTCAAACAGTAACTTAAGTTTACACTTTACACTATTATTATATGGCAACACTCGGCATCGTAACGGGCGGACTGGTTCTAAATGATCTAAGGATTGTCTAAAACTCAGATATATTACTTTTTATAGATGTGACGACTATCGATCTTGCCAGAATATCACCATAATATATAATTTTTGAAAGGTATATTATAACAATAAGAAATTTTTATACTTCGGATCGTAACTGACTCTCGTGTATGTAAATGCCACATTAAATACTAAATGGAATCAGTCGAAAGCTACTAAATACAAGGTAGGACTAAACAAACGGAAAGCCTGTCTATAGAAGTTTCAACGGGATCGAGCTGGCCGAATGGCACCACCACTCTGTGGTGTAATAATCAATCTTCATCAATGAGCTAAAAAATATAACTCAGTACTCACTGCAGTGAGAGACAGAGAGCGCATTTCCTCGTCGACGAAAACGTGAAGTCATGGACTGACGGACGGACAGACAGACATGACGAGCACAATAGCGCTTTTTTCCACAATTGAGAAAATGCTCTAAAAAGAGAAATAAACATTGGCTAAAAAATGGCTTGTTCCTGGACATCAGAGCTAAACAATAGAAGTTATTTAATGCTCTTACTTTTGCTTCTACTTCCTGAATGTTGCTCTGAATATTGTAAGTTATAAATAATAAAACATTTTTATAGGCGTTGTAGATGAACACGTAAAAAGCAACGTGCAAAAATTCTCTTATTAATTCAAGTTTTGCTTCTCATTGTGGATTATAATTAACTTCTTCAGAATTTTTAAACTTCATTTCAGTCACGTGCTCATTCACTCGAAATGAGTTCAATGCACATCGCAAACAAATTTAGCTCCGTAACAAATTTTTCATGGAGAAAAGAAAACTAATACTAAAAATTTCTTGACATGTAAAATAAATCTTTTCTTAATAGACCTTATTAATAATTTTTATTCCACCAATAGTTATTTATAATTACAATCATCAAATAGAGTCACAAGTCCGCGCAAATACAATCGCTCAAACGACAGCGAGACAATGCATTTCACCGAAATCATCTTGAAACGAAGGCAATTTTATCACTATCAGAATCGCGATGAATCACAATAATTTTTTTATCTGAAAAACGAGGGAAAACGTGTAGCCCGGGAGCGCAGCCGTGCACCACCAATTTTGTGCACCAATAAGCTCTGAATCGAACGCCTTGGATATCTCCGGATATCCACCAATCAGCCGTGCACCACTCGGCTTTGTACTCCTCCGGCCTTGACCACCACCTGCCGTGCACCACCAGGCCGCGGATCGAATCTGATTTCCGGGCATCGTTAAATTACGTAATTTTACGTTCACTGCATCTGAGGTTAGGTTTCAGATAGCATAGTTCTGTTCCAAAATTTATCGTCCTTTGACAAGTGGCCGTTCTACCGAGGGCTGGTTCGACCCACGGCCTAGATACGGACGGCTTGAAGTGTTGAAGGCTACGTTCCGGAAGGCAGAAATCATGATGGTCCATTACATCCAGGGCAGTTGTGGTCTTCGGCAGGCGACCCGTGTAGCCCCGCACAGAAATCAATATATGCTTAGGAGAAGAACCCCAAGTAACGAAGGGCTTCATTAACTCTTGGTATGATTGGGTCTTTATGCCTCCAGATAGCGTCGTCAAGCACGGTGAAATTCGTGTAATTATCGCACCATTTTTGAGATTTTTCTTGGCTGGGTGGGCGATAGTGTTGCAGTTGTGCGTCTTCAGTCACTACGTTGTAAAATGAACATGCCCCACCTATGCAAGCCAATGGAAAGTGATTGTGCAAAGTCAGCACCCGATCAGTATTGTGGAATGACTTGATGGCATAACCAGGCAGCGAGTAGTTCCTTGCTCGGTAAATATGTTGGAACATGTACATGTAGGGAGGTATATCGATGAATTGACTGTTACTTATCTCGTCATTACATGGATTAGAAAAATAATGGACATTGCGAAATATGTATGATGCAAGTTCTAAATTTTTTCCTTTCGGTACTTTTTTGGAAATGTTGTCAATGAGGTCCTTCCATAAAATATTGTCCCCTTTGGGCATAATAACCTCGTCAATGTCAAGCAGAGTTATGTACTTATACATGTGCATGTTCTTGTACAGACAGTCGTTGTAAGGAATAAGCTCGTTTTGCCATTGGTTTAAGACTTTCATTTTAAAATAAATGTGTAGTAGCCTCTTGATGTTGGGTTGGTAGGCCGGCAGAGTGATTGGAGTTACGTCCACCAAACCACGTTGTTTGTAGTAATTCAAAACTTTAGATATGTTTGGATGAACCTCAAGTTCGTAAAGGAATATCTTATCGGCACCAAGGTAATGTAAAGTTTCGAGCCACTCCACGAGCCTCACACTTAGATCTGCGTGTAGGTAATCCAGACCCTTTACACAAACGGCAAATTCTTTTTTCTCTCCATGTTCAGGTACGTTGTTAATTACTCTCAAATTAATGACGGCCATATCGCAAGGATTTTCGACGAGTGACACCGATTCGGGCACAAGATGGCGGTATTCAATTGGAATTTGGCACGACATCAGGTAAGGCTGGAGTTGTCCATTCTTTGGATTCCCCCACTGTTTTCTCCACACATACTTGTACTCATGAACTGTTGCAAAAACAGGGACTTTATAACTCTTAAACCACAGCTGACAAGTTGTTTTTACTTGTGGTTCAAGTCTGTTTATCATTCCAAGTATCCTCACCACAGGTGCTTTCTCTTCTAAGGTTCTATTATCATAGTACGCTCCATACAGGTAAAAACTTCCATTTGATGTCTCCATCGTTTGCCAGTACACATTATTAAATCTTAAATTGACGAGGGATGGGAACTTGGCACAAGTATTATTCATGGCGGGAAAATTGTTGTTCAAGGTTTGCCAATATACTGCAGGTAAATTAGGAACTTCGTTCTGCAAAATCTTGTATATATCCAAGTCGGACATAGGTAGTGAGTTGTCAACCAAAAGTTTAGCTTCAAACAGTTTGGCCTCTGTTGCTTTGTTGGGTGTCGCTTCGGTACTTCTTGGTAACAAAGAGCCTCCAACAGTGAAGATTTTCTGATGCAACGGACCGTCAGTCTTGGTGTTGATTGGGACTCGCATCGTCGAGCTCAAGCCCCTGTGTTGGATATTAGTTTAATTAGTTGGATATTGTGAGGTTAAGTTGATTCATAGTGATATGGCATAAGTTATTTGAATGAAAACATTACTAACTTTTGTTTCTATTAATCACGGACAAAATGTATGGAAAAATTTACTCTGTCTTTCTGTTTCAAAAAAGTTATTCTATGAATAGTTTATTTTTTATTCCCCTATTAGAATTCTTTAAAAAAAGTCTTACACCAACTTAAATTGTAAATATCTATAGTTCAAGCAATGATTTGAGAGTTTTCCTTCAATTTTAATAACATGTAAAGACCATGCGACTAAGCTCATGAAGGCATTTTAGTGAAAAGCCCAGATGTTTTAACACTCTTGTACGGTCAGGACCACTCGGTCCTAGGCGTTGATATAGGAATAGCATTGACGACGGTAAATGTATACGTAGGCAAAGGGTTAAACAATCAGAATCGTAATATTCTTTGCGCAAAATGGAACATTATTGCTTATCAATTTGTAAAAATTCTGAAAAAAATGTATCAGGTGAAATTTTATGTTGATTGTGCGTTTGGAAGTTTTGGGAGAACCAGTTTTGCAAAATAACGAAGATGTATTTTTGGTGAGGTCTTGGCAATCAAGCATGAGTTAGAATATTAGACTGGTTCGAATCATGATTTACATTGTGTTTTCAGGGTATTTACATACATGTACATCATTGCATTGTGTTCCCTATTATGTACTGCTACTGGATATTTTTACGTAGCAAGTTACATCGTAGCAAGATACAGTTAAATTCAATTGGCAAGAAATGTATTTTATCGCGCTTTCTTGATTACCCTTCGAAGGGAATAGCGTCTTTGTCTTCAAATTTTTCTGAAATGGTGCCGTACACGTTGTCAGATTTTTACTTACGTATTACGTGCCTCTCCTAGATCAGCTGGCAGGTACTTTCAAACATTGCTAAGCGGACGTAACTTCTTGAACTTAAGCTCAAGGAGATACGTCTAGCGTACGATCAGCGACTTTTGGCACCTTCATAACTTTCGTACGACCGACTTAGCTGGAGGCGTGCTTTCAAAACACTCCGGCTCTCAGCCAATCACAAGCTGGCTTACATGCTTTGTTTACGTTATGAGTCACATGACGCCATGATTCTAAGTTCAGTTATTTAAACAATTTGGCTCTTCTTAAAGAATTCTGGACGCTTTTAATCTAAAATTTTAATGACAAATGCCGCTTCAAGATAGCAAAAGTAGTATTTAATGATTAATATGACATAATGAATAGCGAGAATAGAATTTTTGTGAATTCGTTTTTTAGCTTTACCCGTCATATTCGTTTTCTGTTGACATGTACTAAGAAAAAATTCATTGCATGCAATACTAATAAAATTTCCCAAATATCGAAATAAGGATATTTTTCTAAATAAAAATTAAAAGAATTACCTTAAAATGATACTAGAGTCTAGACACTAGTAACTAAACGATTACCAATTGCTTCACTCACTCAAAAGTTGATCGTAACTCCACTTACGCGACCTCTGAATCGCCGCAAAGTTACGTTCATCGTACTGCACGTAACGTACCGCGAAATGTTTTGAAGGCACCATCATTTGTTGAGTTATAGAAAATAAAAAAATATAATCGAAAAACCCTCTAAAAGAATAAGAATACAAATAAAAAATAAAACCAAATTAGCCCAGCTAGAGATGAAAGTTTGCAAGTACTGCAAAGAGATCTCTCTGAGCGAAGTCCAGACGGTCACCTGTGAACGATGCGATCTCATTTGTATCAGCTGTTCGAAGTTGAGCTCTAAGGAGTACGCATTTCTCATGAAATCTAAATTGCTTTATTGGTTTTGCCGTGATTGCGAAAAACCAACTCTTGGTGCTCGAAAAAGAAAAACTGAGCTCGCTATGCAATGAGCTGACTGAAGTGAAGGCTCAGTTGAAAAATACGGAAGAAATGGAAGTAAAGAACAAGACAGCTGATTTATCTGAAGTCGCTAGTGAAAGCTCACGTGAATTACTTGATAGAGAACATAGGAAGGCCAACCTGGTCTGATTTGGGATTCCTGAAAGTAACGCATCTGATGCGAAGGACCGAGTGATGGATGACACGGCCTTTGTTGTAGACTGTTGCAGCAAGGTACTCAACACATCGATTGATGTTATATCTTGCAAGAGGCTACCCTCGAAGGATGCTGCTGGCAACACCTTCAGACCTCTGCTGGTGACTGTAAAGGATTCTGCTCAGGTCTGTAGCGTGCTGAAAACAGCGAGAAAGCTTGGAGAATCCGCTGATTACAGGTCAGTTTTTGTAAAGAAAGATTCCACCCCCTTAGAAAGGGCGGTTTTTCGCAAGAAGTGGCAGTAGAGAATCAGGCGGAAAGGCACGGAAAATCAGGTCAATCACTTCCAAGCTGCCAAGACAACACCGGCTGCTCACGGACAGTCAGAGGAGATGGAGAACAAGCAATTAGTAGGAATGATGTCCGTAGATCAAGGCCTGTAAATAATGTAGGAAGTAACCGCATACATCAAAGTGAAAGTGCACAAAAAGTTTTAAAATATTCTTACACGAACTCGGATTCCATTTGAACAAAAAAAGTGAACTGTTGACTGTGATCGCAAACGAGTGTATAGACATTATTTGTATTACAGAAACACTCCCTAAAAATCACGGGGGAAAAATTGTACCTGTTGAATTTCAGCTACCAGGTTTTGATTGTTTTCATAACTTAAATGAAGAGCAGTGCAGTAGAGTTGTAGCTCTGTGGGTTAGAACCTCTTATGGGGCCCAGCAAGTTAAGTTATCTGCAGAGCATCAATCAGCTAGAGAATCAGTGTGGTGCGAACTTACTCTAAAAGGCAAAGATAGCCTCCTCATAGGGGTCATTTACAGATCACCTAACAGCTCCTCTGATAACAATAAAGTACTACACAGCCTTACCGAGCATGTCATTCAGCAGGTCGCATACGTTGATCGTTGGTGACTTTAACCATCCAGAAATAGACTGGGCAGATGAATCTTCTCCAAGAGATGGGAATCACCCAGCATCCTTGTTCTTGGAGTCTGTGTGAGACTCATTTTTAATCCGGAACATCACCAAGCCAACCCATTTTAGGGGTAAACAGACCCCAAATATTCTAGATCTTGTGTTTACTAGTGAAGAATCAATGATAGATGAGCTTCGCCACGAGGCTCCGTGGGGCAAAAGCCACCACCAATCAGTGTTTTTCAATGTTAAGTGTTGTGCAGAAAAGACGCTTCGGAAGCGTGAACGTTTGAACTTTGCGAAGGGCGACTATGATAAACTCCGTGAAACGGTGAATGCGGCGAATATTTCGGACTGTATTAAGGACATGAGAGTGGCTGATTCATGGTCGTTTCTCAAAGACACGGTTATGTCTGCAGTTGATGCCTGTGTACCCAAGATTACACTTGGAGGAGTCAAAAAGTCCCAGTGGATGAACAGTGCAGTTAAGACTCAGATAAAGACCAAGAAAGAAGCATACAAGCGTTATTTACGAACTCCCCGATCTCTGCCGCGTCTGCGTCGTGGGGGTACCCTGGCCTACGCGTCGGCCGGATGCCCGGCTTACTCGTGGACCAGGCCAAACGGCAGAGGCCCCCCCGCCCGGATCGCTACCGGACGGAGGCTCCATCATTTTTTCCCCTAAGGGCAGGGGAACCTCGGCCTCCCCTCCCCCCTACCCACATCTTTGGCCGCCTATCTTTCCTGGGACATCTTATGCCCTTCTCTCCTCCCATCTTTTCTTCCTATTCGTCCTTCTTCTCCTTACCCAGGGTATCCATCCCAACCCTGGCCAAGACCCCTGCTCAGTCTGCGCACTCCCGGTCACACGGCAGTGCTACTCGTTTCGGTGCTCCATGTGCAACGCCTGGTGGAACGCCTCCGGCCTTCGCTCCATTCACCACTACTCTGCGGACTGGATCTGTCCTACGTGCAGGCAGCCTGACCCGAGCCCACCCAGACCCCCTCCCTTCTCGCTCCAACGGCCTCCCCCCGTGCCTGCCTCTTCTCGCCTCTGCGTCCTACAGTTTAACTGCAATGGGATCCAATCCAGCGCAGTCGAACTGGCTGCCTTCCTCGCACAGCACGATGTTGCTATTGCCTGCATCCAGGAGACGAAGCTCTCAGCGGCCTCCCGCCCTCCCTCTTTCTCTGGATACGCGATGGAGCGTAGGGACCGTCCCGGTGGCCACGGTGGCGGTCTTCTAATCCTGATCCGTCACGACATCCCGTACACCGGGCGTGATATTTCTCCCCTCCTGCGTGGCGACGCCACCATGGAGGCCATAGCCATCTCCACTCCGCTCAATGGCTCCCCTCTCTGTATTATCAATATATACATCCCACCAGCCACCTCCTGCCCCCCGGGTTACTCCCCGGACCTCTCTGACATTGTCACCATCCCGGACAATTGTCTGATGGTGGGCGACTTCAACGCCCATCATCCCTCCTGGTTCTCCCACACCGAGGACCAGAGAGCAGCAGCGAGAGGGATCACCATCGACGACGTCATCTCTGGCTCCCCCTTAGCCTTCCTCAACGAGGATTCGCCGACCCGATCCGCACTCCCAAAACCCATCCACCCGCCGCCTTATGCGTCGAATTTGGGCTGAGCACCCCCTGGACAGGGACTTCGCCCCTTTCACCCCTAACATGGTGAAACTCGCCATCAGAGCTGCTAACAATTCTTCCGCTCGGGGTCCGGATGGCCTCACGGTTCTCCACCTCAAACACCTTGGCCCACGTGGCCTCCAGTTCCTTACCCATATCTTTAATATCTCTGTCGCCACGGCCTCCATTCCATCCATATGGAAAAACTCAATAATTATCCCGTTACTAAAACCCGGTAAACCTGGTAACCAGGGCTCCTCATACCGCCCCATCTCCCTTCTTTGTCCAACGGTCAAGATCCTGGAACGCCTTCTACTTCCATACATCTCTGGTTCTCTCGTCACGGTTTCCTCGCAACATGGCTTTAAACCAGGTCACTCGACAGTCACCGCCCTCCTTCCGCTCGCGCACCAGATTGCGACGGGTTTCAATTCACGCCGTCCCCCAGCACGTACAGTAGCAGCCGCGGTCGACCTATCGAAAGCTTTCGATAGTGTCGACCACCCTCTCCTCCTTAGCATGATCGCGGCCTCAGACCTACATCATAATCTGGTCCGCTGGCTGTGCTGTTACCTTAGAGGAAGGATGGCTTCCTGCCTCTATCTGAGAACAAGGTCCCCCTTCAGAACAATCCATTCTGGAGTCCCCCAAGGGTCGGTCATCTCACCAGCCCTTTTCAACTACTTCATCTCGGACATACTTGTCCCGACATCTAACATCGCCTCATATGCAGATGACCTCACTATTTTTGTGTCGTCCCCGAGACTCGACGCCGCGGAGGCTGACCTCTCCGAGTTTCTCCGGGGCGTCTCAGTCTGGTCGACCGCCAAGAAACTGGCCGTGGCTCCGGGGAAATCCTCAGTCACGTTCTTCACCCCCGACACTCACCAATCCCGTCTTCACCCATCTGCACCAATCTGTAATGGCATCATCCCACTGGACAAGACCCCCAAAATTTTGGGGGTCACTTGGGATACCCATTTTACGTTCTCTCCACATGTCAGAGCCATAGCCACCAAAGCTATAGGCTCTTCACGCATCTTAAAAGCCCTGGCCGGCACCAACTGGGGCTTCTCCAAAGAAGACATCATTGCCACATACCGTACAATTACTCGCCCAATCCTCAATTATGCTGCCCCCATCTGGTACCCAGTCGCCTCACGCACCGCAATTGCAAGCCTCCAAATCATCCAAAACTCAGCCTTGAGACTAGCCACCGGCTGCCTCAAGATGGCCCCAATCGCCCATCTCCACCATGAGACCGGCGTCCTCCCCCTGTCCGCCCACCTGGACCTGGCATGTGCTCAATTCCTCGCCAGCGCACTCCAGCCTACTCATGCTTCTTTCAGCATCGTCTCCGCTCCCCCCGGTGACCGCCCCATGAAAGCTTCAATCAAGACAAGATTCGGCCACCTTGTGGCGCCTTTCCTCGCTGACGGCATGATGCCCGACGGTGCCTATGGAGAGGCAAAAACGCTCCCTCCGTAGGGAGATAGCCACCCGTGTTGCGGCGACGGCCGTTAACAACGCTGTCCTCACAGCCCCACCACCACCGATCGCAGCAGAAGAAGCCTCGCTCCCTCGCCCTTACCGTTCAGCGCTATCCCAGCTACGCTCGGGATACTGCAGCTCCCTTACGTCCTACACCCACAGGGTCGGACGCTCCCTTAGCGCCGCTTGCCCGGAGTGCGGGGATCCCCTCCAATCCGTCCAGCACCTCTTTGCCTGCCCCGCCTTCCCCACGTCCCTCAGCGTCTCATCATTGTGGGCGTTCCTGGCCACCCTCCCTGCTTTCGCCCATCTGCCCCCTCTCCCGGTGCCTCCCCTCCGACCACCACCAGAGCCTCCGCCCACGCGAGCGTGACGTGGCGCAAGAAACAACAACAACAAGTGGAATTCACTCAGACTGGTAAATCAGGCAGCAAGTGCCCATGAACAGACAAAAATGCCTATGCTCACAGTAAAATTTACCTATGGTGCAATTCCTTCAGTTTTAAACAAAATAAAATAATATGTGTCATATTTTTATCCAAGTTTTTGAAAAATTATCCAAAACAAACTCTTGTATCCATACTTTGGGAAATTATACAAGATGCCCCACATTGGGAAGCCATTGCTGAATAATGGATGATGAGACAAAAATGCTCATGCCTGCATCTCACACATAAACTATAATATCATACCCATTTACATTTGTATGTCCCTTGTCCAATTTTTTTGGTTAAAATCAAATGAAACAACTTTCTTGCCTGCACAGTTAGAAAAAATGAAATGATCCTTTGTACCCTAAACAAGAGGTTTTAGGAAAATTTTTCCTGATATTCCAGACTGGCCTAGAATGATCAGGCCTAGAATTTCAGAGCATCCTTATTCATAGTAATCATCAACAGCTTTCATTACTGTCAAACTATGGATT